TGACTGCATGGCTTTCAAAGTCTTTTACAATCTGTCCTTTTATTTGTTGTTGTTTTTAAGTAGCGGGGAGTCGGTTCCGACTCATAGTGACCCTGCACAGGGTTTCTGAGGCTGCACATCTTTATGGGAGCAGAAAGCCTCATCTTTCTCCTGTGGAACAGCTGGTAGTTTTGAGCTGCTGACCTTGAGGTTAGCAGCCCGGTTTGTAACCACTACGCTACCAGAGCTCTTTTATTTAATCAGTTTTATTTCCTATCACTCCTTTTATGTATACTCTCCTCTCCTCAGGATGGCGTCTGTGTGAGTGCCACCCAGCACATGAATTCCCGAATTAGACATCCTTCCACATTCACCTGAGCATCTCACCTTCCTTGAAGGAGCCTTGGTGGCACAATGACTAAGCATTTGGCTGCTAACCAAAAGGTTGGTGGCTCAAACCCAAATAGTAGCTCCACAAAGTAAGACCTGGTTATCTGCTTCCATAAAGACTGCAGCTTAGGAAACTATAGGGAACGTCTGCTCTGTTGCACAGGGTCAGCAGAAGTTGAAATAGACTTGATGACACCTAACAACATCCATGAGAGCTGTTCTTAGTATATTCTGGTATGGTGCTATGGGTTAATGTGCTGAACTGTGAGGTTGCTTTGAATCGCAAGGTTGGCTGTTCAAGCTCACCAGCTGCTCCTCAGAAACCCTATACAGGGTTGCTATGAGGTGCAAACAACTCGATGGCACTAAACAACAACTACAACATCCATGAGAGTTTCTCTGAGCATACTAGTCTTCATTGAAGATAACATTTGGTCACTTCAAAATCCTTCAGTGATAATATTTTATGTGCTAAATAAAACCCAGGCTTTGTAGTCTAGATTGAAGCCAGCCATTCAGCCACAAGTATGTACTAAGAACTAGTTATGTGCCAGACCCTCTCTGGGTACTGAGACAACTCTGGAGAACAAGACACACTGGCTCCCTGCCCTTATAGTGAACATACTGGACAGTAAATAAATAATTGCAATCAATTAAATAATTATTAGTGTGAACCAAGTGCTTACAAAGCCCTTATAATCTGGTCTATCTTTCAGACTTATTCTTTATCCTTTAATTCCATCCAAGTGGGCTCATTCACACTTTCCAGAACTGTGGCTCTACTCACACACTCTCTCTAATCCCCCAACATACGTTCTTCTCTGTTTAACCCATACTCCTCCAGGACCAACTCTGGTTCTGGCTCTTTCATGAAACCTTTCCAGACAGCTTTGCCTGAAGGATCTTTTCTCATTTGAATTCTTAACACTTACTCATTCAACAAATAATTACTGAATGACTTCTTGAAATATTTGTTAAATGACTCCTCATGAAGTTCTAAGCGCGTGCTATGGTTGGTATTAAACTATTTAAATTATATAGAGAATTACAAGTTTTCCTACTGAGAGAGATCAAGGATTCCCTTCCTCCCTCCCCCTAAATTTGTAAAGCATACAAAATTAGATAATTAAAATGGCAATAAAAATTACCCAGTTACTCATAACCCTTCTACTTAGACCTATCACTTACAATTTCCTATTGCTGTTTTCAGGTTTGTTTTTTTTTTTTTTTTCGTTTCCTTTCCACTTCTTTCTGTAGGATAAGCACTGGACCACAAGGCCGGTTTGAACTGCAAGGTCAGTGGTTCAATCTCACCAGCTGCTCCTCAGAAACCCTATATAGGGTCACTATGAGTCAGAACTGACTCGACGTGGCACTTCAACAACAAAGGGTGGCTAAGGAGCCCCAATAGCATATTGGATTATGAGTTGGGCTGCTAACTGCAAGGTCAGCAGTTCGAATCTACCAGTGCTCTGAGGAGGGAAAATTATGCTTTCTGCTTCTATATAGATTTACAGCCTCAGAAACTATACAGGGGCGCTGAGAGTCAGAGGTGACTCCATGGCACACAACTGCCACCACCATAGAGTGGCTATGAGTGGATTAGATGGCACCCAACTACATTCTACCATTGATGGGGAAAAGGTAAAGGTACTTTGGGAGATCTGGCTAGATCCTTCAGCACTGACTTGCTTTGAGTTAATAGCGAACCCTTCTTATTGGAAATCTACATTGCCAAGATAGGATTAAAGCACAAAAGACCTATGAGGTAGCTGTCTCATTGGGTGTCTTCCTCATTTTTGCTGATCTTCCACCTTACCAAGCATGATGTCCTTGTCTGGGGACTGGTCCCTTCTGAAAATATGCTCAAAGAATGACAGATGAAGTCTCTCTATCCTTATTTCTAAGGAGTATTTTGTCTGTATTTCTTCCAACACAGATTTGTTTGTTCTTCTGGTAAACCATGGTACTTTCAATATTCTTTGCAACACCATAATTCAAATGTATCTCTATTCTTCTACCATCTTCCTTATTCACTGTCAAACTTTCATATGCACATGAGATGACTGAAAATACCATGGCTTGGATCAGACACACCTTAGTCCTCAAAATGACACCTTTGCTCTTTAACATTTTAGAGAGGTCTTTGGCAGCATATTTGCCTAATAAAAGAAGATCCATCTGATATCAGCAATGATATCCCTACTTCCACATCCTCTTCTGAGTTTGGCTTGAATTTCTGGCAGCTCCCTGTTGGTGTATTGACGCAATGTATTTGCATCAACAGAGATCAATGTACATCAATAGGGAACAGCCAGAAACATTAAATACATTAAAGAAAAAGTTTCATTGTATTTGAATGATCTTGCAAGTGAAATTAATGATATTGTTAGATGATTTTCACATTCTATCGATCACCTCTCTTTGGAATGGGCACAAACATGCATCTTTTCCAATCCGTTAGCCAGGTATCTGTCTTCCAAATTTCTTGGCATAGATGGTGAGCACCTCTAGCACTGCATCAGTTTGTTGAAACATTTCTATTCATGTCCCATCAATTCCTGGAGCCAATGCCTTTAGTGCAGCTTGGGCTTCTTCCTTCAATACCATCGGTTCTTGATCATATGCTGCCTCTTGAAATGGCTGAGTATCCGCCAATTATTTTTGATACAGTGACTGTGTATTCCTTCTATTTTCTTTTGATGCTTTCTGTCATTTAATATTTGCCCATAGAATCCTTCAATATTGCAACTCAAGGCAGCCTACCTCATGCCTATTTAATGTTTGAAAATGGAGTATAACCAAAGGCCCTTGTCATGAACTGCAGCAGCCATTGGCTTGTATGCATATTCTGCTTTGGTTCTCCGTAATCTGGTGTGGTCCTGGTGTGGCACTGTAAAATAAGTACTGGATTGCTAACCACAAGTTTTGCAGTTCAAATCCACCAGCTGCTCCTTGGGAACTTTATGGAGGGTTGCTATGAGTCAGAACCAACTCAATGGTACTTAACAACAACACATTTAATCTCTATAGAGGTCACTATGCTTTAAATTGCACACCCCATTTTTGATGTTGTTGTTAAGTGCCATCGAGTCAGTTCCAACCCATAGCGACCCTGTAAAAGTGCCATTAAATCAGTTCCAACTCCTAGTCACTCTGTATAGGAGCGGCTGGTGAGTTTGAACCACAGACCTTGCAGTGCAAACTGACCTTATCCTACAGGGCCACCCTGTAGAATCCTGATTCCTTCACATCCACTGGGTGAAAGAAACCTGGGGATTGTAGAAAGGCGTGTCTCTCAAGGCAGGCCAACCCTGCTTCACCAGGAAAGCTTTGCCAGCCCCAGCAAAGGGGTCTTCCGTCTTTCTGGCTTTTAAAAACCACGGTACTGACATCTCTTTTCTCAGGGACGCAGGAAACGGCGAACGCGAAAGGTGAGCAGTCTTCATAGAGGCCAGAGCTGTCGTTTTAATATTCTCAGAAGCACATTCCAGTGAACCTAAAGGGCTCACACTGGAGAGGAACAGTTACGGGGCAGGGGTGCGGGGTG